TTGGGGGGCCCCCCCGCCGATGTTTTAAATGAATGTTGTAGCGGCTGTGGCATTAGAGGTATATATTCCTTAGATTCTCGGTATCTAGTTTGATCACTGCTGTCGTCTGCTGTGCAACACGTTGATAAATAATTATATTGTTCTTCCCTCCGATAATCATCCTCGATCGATCGGACATCATCCGCGATCTCGGAGCGATATGATTTATTTTTCGTCGTGTGAGTTGTGACGGCGCTGACATCGTGATCGTCGCTTTGTCTTTTGTACAATCACAGCCTTCTCTTGATAATTGTAACAACTCCGGAGGTATCTTGTGAACGGAGAGCAAGTTTCATACATTTCCCGATGGCGAAAAAGAAGCCAGGCAAAGATGCGTCGAGAGCGGCCACAAAGGCGGCCAAGAAAGCAAAGGCAGCCCAGAAGGTACAGCGGAAGGACAAAAAGAAAGTGGGAAAGTCAAAGGAGGAGGATGAAGACGATCAAGATCTAGAGGGAATCCTCGATAGAGTGTGTCCCTCTCCGCTTTGGTCCACGTGGCACCCTGATTTGAAGAGCCGTCTGACATGTTGAATCAGTAGATTCAAAGAGAGTGGGAAGAAGCGCACAAGGTGACAGAAGAACTTGTGGAAGGCCCTCCAAGTCGACGCGCAAATGCTACCCTTACGCCATGTCCGAGCGGGAACTACTTGTGGTGTATTGGAGGCGAATTCTTCAGTGACGATGGAAAGGCGGTGAGTCAGGATACAAACTTTGACATGTCTATAAGCTAGGAATCTGACCATCATGTTAGTATTTTTACAACGACGTATTTCGATATTCACCGGATAAGGTGAGTACGCCGCACGAGAATTAGTCATAGTTAGTTTTACAGTCTTTCTGATCGTCCAGGATGAGTGGCGCAAATTTGTGTCACCAACATGCCCTGGGCCACGTTCAGCGCATGCTCTAGTTGCATCTCCGGCAGGTGGTGGCAAGTTATTCTTATTCGGTGCGTGTATCATTGTTCTTCATGCATATCATATACGAGCAATTCAGTTATCTTTTCCTATAGGTGGCGAGTTTTCGTCGTTGTACCAGAATTCATTTCACCACTATCGCGATTTCTGGTGCTTTGACATCTCAACGCATGCATGGGATCGAATTGACACCAAGATCAAGCCAACCGCACGCTCGGGACATCGGTGAGTCAAGGTCCAAGCTGACCAAATTTCCTTCATTGATCTTCGACTGAAGATTGAATTATGAAGGATGGCGATGTGGAAACACTATATTGTCCTTTTCGGGGGTTTCTACGATCCGGGAATTAGGAGTAAGCTTCCCACTCTTGCTTGCTTCTAGTGGAGCTAACGTTGACCCACCCACCAGCAAATTACCTTAACGATCTTTGGCTTTTCGACACTCAAGAATATAAATGGAAGCAAGTGGAGCTCAGGGATGCAGAGCGAAAGCCGTCGTTAGTGTGTTGTATCTCAGGCCGAAAGAGAAATGCTCATCATGATGTACCTCAGTCCTCGTAGCGGTTTCTCATTTCTTCCCGTAGCAGATGGAATACTCTTACATGGTATGTATTTACTTCAAGTATCGTTGCGTTCATGTGATTCGAACCAGCATGCATGAAGGTGGCTACTGCAAAGAATACCACAAAGGTAGTCGTCCGATAGGAGTCATGTTGGATGATACGTGGTTCCTGAGGTACTTGCTAGATGTGAAGTCACTGCCCTGATAGTTGCTCATACTATCTGACGACATAGAATCACAGTCAACGAGACCAAAGATGGTAAGGCGCCAGCCGAACCTCTAACATTAAAATGGGAGCGTAGAAAGAGGCCATCAACAGCATATGCACCTTCGTTACGATCTGGATGTACAATGACCTTGTGGACGACAAGGAACACAGGTATACTGTTCGGAGGCGTCACGGACGAGGACACGAGTGAGGAAACAATGGAAAGTGTTTTTCATAATGATCTGTAAGCATGATACCCACGGTGCTGGTTTTGCTGCAGCTGAGGATGTCTGGTCCTAGGTATGGATATCAGGTTAGCGGGAATGGACGCTGGATATCGATGCTCCTGAAGCGACCTAAGAAGAAATCTACCGGTGCAAAGAAGCAAAAGTCTGTTCCTGCTCCGGCGCGAGCCCCGTCGAGCGACGAGGAAGATGACGAAGGTAACTCAGAGCAAAGTGGAGATGAGGTGAGTTATCTCCTCTTCCGTATGACAGATTAGAGATCCATCATAGAATCAGATTACAATCCAAGCCCGTACCAAAAAGAAATCAGGCACTCCTCTTGCTCCTGCTTCAGCGTCCGTAGATCCTGAGAATGACCTCGACGACCCTGATATAAGTAGACCCATGCCACGCTACAATGCCATGTTAGCTGTCCTGCGCAACACACTTTATATGTATGTTTACGGCATGCGATCTTACAGCGCTGATGTTAATAACGGGACCTTGGCAGCTATGGAGGTATATTTGAACGAGGATCCCGAGAATATACGCTCGACGATTTTCACTCATTGCAGCTTGACAAGCTAGATAGGTATACTTGCTTGAAGAGCAGCGGAATTACTATAGCGGCGGAAGGCGATGAAGAAAGCAGTGATGACGACGACGACGACGATGACGACGACAGCGACAGCGACGACGGCGAAGGGGGCGAGGATGAATCCGAAGGAGAGGATCCTGGCGCTGTAGCTTCTAAATCCCCTGCACCCGCAGAGGATGCAGATCAAGACGCAGAGGTAGAGGTTGTTGAGCAAGGCACACTCAAAACGGAGAAGGTGCGCTAATTTATATCATCACTCATCATACTCACAGCAACGGAATTGCAGGATGCGCTCCGCCTGCAGGCTGCGGCATTCATGGGGGTGGCTAAAGACGCTACGCGGTCTGCGGAGGATATCATTAGTACGCCTCTGCCCGGAGAGACATTAGCAATGTTCTATGCTCGTTCACGTACGTTGCTGTGCTACTACTTCAGGATTTGGAACTTACACCTTGCTGATATTAAAGGTGAATATTGGACCGGTAGAGCCCACGGAAACAGCGGCAATCGGGGAAAAGAACTTCGACGAGATGGATTCGCCAAGGCTGAGGAGAGATACGGTAAGTGTTACTGAACTGCAAAACGTCATCAGTGCCTACTAATAAATTGTTCAATATAGCCGCGTATAAGCCAATCCTCGAGGAGGTCGAGAGGATCCTCGCAGAAGCTGGATTGGATGAAGAGGAAATGAGAAAGGGAGCAGCCGTTGGTCCCGCAGGATCTACAGGACAAAGTAGAAATCGACGTTGAGGGGTATAGCTTAAGAGATACAATGATGATCATGGTTCAAATTTGTAAAGTCCATAGTGTATATTGCATTGTCTGTCAATCTGCGCGTAAGAATGATGGGAATATATTACCGAAAGTAACTGGCGCTTTTTTCTATTCCATCCTGCCAAAATCTGTAACGCTAAAGTGGGCGCCCATCTCTTCAACTGCAATAAACGTGACTGAAGTTTGAACAAAGAACTCTGAAGTGGGGTTAGAAGCGGCGGTGCGAAGGTCGAGCATAAATCGAGACAAAAGGATCCCCTCCAGCCTGCCGACAGGTAATATATCAGACAGGTCCTAAATTGATTCATTATCCACTTACGCCACAAGGTCTGCGAGATTTGTAGTGAGACCGTATGCCTTTGGGAGCATGTCATGCCTCGCGGTAAGGTAGCGTTCAACGCATATGTATATTATGGGACTCACCATATCGCCGATCAGTGTCATCACGTTAAACATGAGCACGTTCCTAAGTCAAATCCGCTAAGCCGTCTTTTTTCTCGTGACAAGAAAACTCACAAGAAAATTAAAAATCCTGTTATAAGTACCCACTTAAAATGTGCACTTGCATCAGCAGAACATAGGCGTACCGTCCCTGAGAATAGGTCCCATAAGGCCTGTCCCGCCACAAAGTTGTCTCAAGTTGCAATGAGCACTATAGGTTTTCATCCAGGTCATAATCATGACTAGGATTTGTGCCGCTATGCTGGTCCCGCGAGAAGCGTAAAGTACCCAAATCATACCTAGCCGGAAGACAAATGTCCATCCAATCGTTTAGGCACCAATTCCATATGGGGAGCCACTTACTTGGACTGTAACATAAGTCGTCACTCATAAAACTGAGAGAGGTCGGCATGCTAAAACACTTACGAGGGAAATGAATAGCCACAAGAACCCATGTCGGTGTTAACATAGTCTGTTACTCTAGCTTTTGATAGCAAATACTGCGTGCGCTCCGCATTAGAGAAAAAGGGGCGTATCAAGATTGAAGACATACTAAGCTTGTGGCGGGCAATACCGAACTGAACAACAATACCAAGGCGGATAACCAGATATTGCCATTCCATAGCGCGAATGTCCTGATCGTCAATAATGCTAGTAGGATGGAACAAACCCTAATCAACAAATCGAATCCCGGATGATCTTGAAAGCACGAACCAGCAGCAGCGATGAGGCCTATGAACGAGAAAATACCTTCAAACCAGAAAATGATTGCGCAGCTATTTTCCATGAGCTTCAGATACCAGTGGATGGATATGCGTTAAATAAATGCCACCTCTGATGACGCATCTCGGATATAGCAGCGTCGAGAAAGTGCGAAGTCACACTCACTGATACATCTTGCCAGGGGAGCAACGCCACGAGGACAATGACCCGATTTATCAAACAAATATAGCGATTCAGGAAAAAGAGGATCGCGACCATTGAGAGCTTTCTTTGCCAGAAGCAGCGAACCTCCATGTCGAACGTAATGCAGTATTCAAACAGCGTCAAGGCTTAGAGTTCACGGTGAGTACCGGGATGATATAAAGATAAAAAGGAGAGATACCTCCTATAGACAGAGCCATATAACTATAGATTGAAAAAACGGGGTTGTCAATGAGATAGGGACGACGCATAATAAGATGGACTAACACATTAGTCTCCATTTGGTCGGGCATGATTATGAAGGTTGAGGGTATAAACGGGCATCTGACCAGTCTCAAGTAGTCTTAAACCTCGAGTGAACCCTCTCCGTCTCATTACTGATGAGCGTCCCCAAGCAGCGTAAGTATATCAAACATTACCAGATGCGCACACTATGATGGGTATCACTCGGGGAAGACATCGCGGGATCAATCAGAGGCCCTGTGAGTGGGATCGGGTGAGCATAGTGACAAATATCTACATGTGAAATTGGATTCAGCGGATCCTGAATGTTGAATGGAGAACCAGGAGACAGCTATGCGGCTGCGCAGAGGTGATCGCGACTTCAGTAAGGAAGGCCCAGTTCATACTCGACTACCTCACGGTCTCTCCCCCCTCATACTTCGGTGCCAAACCTGCCACCCTAAAAAAGCAATAGTGGCCCCATGCTCTTCTATTTTTCGTGGCGCGCATGATAGGTATCAGCCGGGGAAGACAGCGCGGAATTAATCAGAGATCCTGTGAGTGGGATTGGATGAGCATAGTGACAAATATCTATATATGGAGTTGGATTCAGCGGTCGTCTTGATTGTTGAATGGAGAATCAGGAGACAGTCGTGCAACGCAGAGATGATCGCGACTTAATATTTTAACGGTAGAGTAGAGGAAAGCGGAGACGTAATAACGATGACTAGGTGCGCTTTTTTCGCGCTTCGACTATTTCCGGGGGCAGGCGTTTCGTTTTTTTGGTTTTTCCTGAAGTTTGCAATTCGTATCCGGGAGGAAAGATAATGTCAAGGGAACTGATGTCGGCATGGAAGTTGTCACTCGCGTTTTTGTTGGACCATGTGATTCAGTGGTGGATTGAAAGTGAGTACTGCTTTCACAAGAGCTCCTTTCAGGCGGTTGTCGACATCATTAGTATGGATAGAGTCACAGGAGAGATCAAACGCAGGAACGAGAATAGCGCGGAGTGAATTTCCTTGTTTAATTCGGTTGAGATGGCGCGTCGTATGATCGCAGTCAGGAAAACTCCACGTGGGAAGGTCGAGTGCAGAGTCGAAGAGTTGCTATCTATGGAAGAACGTGAGGTGTCAAAAATTTGTGGAGATGAGTAGGTCGTGCCTTCGTCATCAAATTCCGTGACATTGTCGTTGCTTTAGTCCGACGTCGGTATTTCTTTCTCATAGTTTGTTTGTTAATGGAATAATGAATATCAGTAACAGGGGACATACCTCAAACCATGTACGACGTATCTTGCCAAGCAGGTCTTTGTCAGGGTCATCAAGAATGTGGTTCTTGATGGAAGAATGTTTCTTCGCATCGATTAAAGAATGCACACCGTGAGTCGACTGTCGGTTTGCCATAGGTGGAAAACCATTGGATGTCGCGGCTGAAAAAGGCCGCTTCCTTCAGCGTGTGGCTCACCCGACACAATTTACTCTTTAGGCATTCATGCGCCGCCTGTGACCTCCTCACCATTGCTTCAGTACCACCCGCTACCTTTCTTCAACACTGATCCACTTTGGGCCTACGTTCCACGTGATCCCTGGAGGAGTCTGGTTGTTAGAGGACATTCAAATAATCACCCGTTTGCACATCAGAGGGCAATGCTGACTGAGCATGCCGAAGCGGACGAAGCGGGCAGGTGCGAGTATTGCAAACCTAGGCAAGTATTCTGTGAAGGAAGCCCGGCGGCGATTGTCTCAGTCTGGCCAAGATGACAAACAATTTGAAAATGGCAAGGTAAGCAATCCGCGGTAGCTCCACCTACACTCGTTCACATCGATTCGTGGATGCATACCGCAAAGGTTTAACTGGAAAGCAAGCAGCATGAGCGAATAAGCGATACCATGGCCATTGTGTACTGCCCAACAATATCTTAGAAGAGCTTGATGATATGCAGCTATCCTAACTAATCATCTCATATTTTTCACGGTTGTTCATATCATAGTCTCGTCATATTGCATCACACTGTCACTTCTCCTACTCATATCATACATACATCGCTCGCAGACCGGTTGTACTTATCTCTACTTGTCTGACCTTATCTGTCCGATAATTGAGGATTTTACGTGATGCATCACGGATGTCACAGGTAGTCGAGTAAGTTGCAAACTGGGCATTCCTCGCGGCGATCTGTCAATCACGCGTTCGTCACGCATGTGTTCCGCTGTGACATGCTTGCCTCGGCCTGCCCGCTGTGGTTTCGGTGGTCCCGGACTCAACTGTGACGTTGCTGAGGCCAAGGCTGGCAGTGAGACTGTTCAAATCGCTGACTATACTTAGGTTCTTGGCTATGCTATGACACCGTGAGACGGACCCTATTGCAACGTATTTTGACCAGCCAAGAATCCCTTCTCGATCACAGACATGAATCATTGAGCATGCCGCATGGCATTGGCGGTGGAATGGACTTCGGCAACGATACAGTTGAGAAACACGACCCTGCTCTGGTTCAAGACCTCACTGGTACGTTTTTCTAAATGGCCGCTGATTGACTAACCTAAGACAGGCAAGCCGATATTTAAAATTTGATCAAGTATGCTTTGACCTACCCCTCGACGCTCGTTGCCCATAGTATGTTCCATGACATCTCATCGAAGAAGGGGCCTGCGCAGAACAGCTATATTCCATCACGTGTTATATTGCGAAAAACGCCCGTTCCAGTCGCTCACACTGAGCATCTAGACGGAGGAACTAAGGTATCGGATACGATATCCTTAGAGTTGGAGTCCCAGCCTCTCGTTGAGGCACCACAGGGCATGGCGGTTCACCCATTGCATCTTCCTCTCAGTCGGCATCGGCCGCACGTGTATTGTATGACATCTGTCGTACAGTCAATCACGCGCCGTGTATTACTAGCCTCAAGTGAGTCTGTTCATTTGCAGCCGCTGTATTGGAGGTGTATAGCTTGGAATAGAAAAGCGCTGTGCATTAGATCACAATGGACACCATACCATCCGTCCAACGAATGTGACTGATGTGCTCACTCCGATGAATGTTTGCGCTGCTTCTGTTTTGACTTGTGGTCTTCCATCTCCCTTCCTAACATGATATAGGTCGGTTCTATGCCATGCCGCGACAGTCATACGTAAGATCATATGGGAATTGTATTGATGTCAATCGGGGAATCTTTATGGCCGTCCGACGATTCCAAGATGTGTCTGTCCTTCAGTCTCAAAGACGCTCATCGCCTTAATATATAACCTACAGGACCTTTCATCCTACGACCCTACATCTCAATTTGCCAGCTGTTCAATTTTGAGTCATCACTATGTCTGCTCGTCTGAGCTCAACTGCTCCCCAGGTTCATGCTCGGATTCGTGGCGCACTCCACGACATTGAAATGCGCCGTCAGCAGAAAGCCCCTCCAAACCAGCTCGATGTAAAGACGAATACTTCACAAGGCCCCGCTCCCGCTGATAATGATCCTAACAAGTACGTTCGATTTGATTGCGCACTAATAATGTACTAATACTCGCCGATACTCAGGGACCTCGTGAACAGGCTGATTACCGATAATAAGGCTCTCTGGGACCAATTACTTACCAACACGTTCCCCGCGCTGAAGATGGGTACACTGAAGCAAGGCGACCCCGGTTATGACGAAGCAGTCAAGGGCTTCAAATGGTACATGATAGTTAGTATTCTCTGCGACGTCCACCAGCCAGTCTGCTGATCATGTGTCTGATGTGCCGTCTGGCCTGTAGCAAGACTTCATGTACTGCACTCGGGATGTCGGGTATCAGTCTGACCGAGCCGTGCAGACTGATGACGTGTTTGAGTACGTATCCATAATCCAAAAGGCTCAGAAGTATTGCGACTACGCCATCGATTCTTTGGCGACCTGCGTCAATAAACCAGACGCCGACGTGCCGGGCCTAGGCATCGACCCCAAGATTGTTTTCAAATCCAAGCCAACAAGCACCTTGAATGACTATACCGACTTCCAGCACAGTAAGGCCGAGCACGAAAACTGGGTTATGGGGTTCGTCGCGATGATTCCGTGCTTCCAAGCAAGTCCACCACTTCCATTACAGCAATCTAACTTCTGTACTCACATGTTAACCACCCCAGTCCTACTATCAGATCGCAGATGCGCTGTCGAAAGACCCGAAGGTAGACAAGAGTGAGCATATGACTGATTTTGACCGTGCATTTCTCTAATTTGGCGTGATAATCTTATAATGTTCAGCTGCGCCTTGGTATAAAACGTTCATCACCGCCAACCTGAGCCCTAAAAGTGTCAACGATCAAATCAGTATGTACTGTTTTTAGCACGATCATACCTAACGCTGCTAAGTTAATTAATTTCTTTAGAATTCTTCCAAGATTATTATGAGGGCTGGAAAGATCATTACGAGGAGGCTAGCGACATCTTCAGACAAGCATGCATAGGCGAGATCAATCTATGGGGCGTCACTGCTAACCCACCCAAGGATATCTAAAGCGTGTCGCCCCATTAGGTATGATCGTCAAATGATTTGTATTTCCTGTAATCCTTGCCACCTAGTACTTTGTGCATCGCGCTGTATGAGTTGCACTAACCAGAATATGCGACCAACCTTACGGTTCGTTGATACGAAGAATTGCACAATATATGTACTGATAGCGTATTGATAACCGCCGGACGACTGCTGTGATCGACAATACGGTGAATTTGGCGACTTAGATTCATTCATAATAACATTACATCAAGAATCACTAAGGTACTAAGTCAGCTATCCACAGACCTAAAACCCTTCGTCTGTAGCAGCTTCAACAATTTTATCATAACAGGCCTTCGCAGAACGGGTCCACCTCCGTGGAACCTCCGGATCGTCCCGCGACATGTCCGCCTCATAGAAGACCTGTCGAGCATAACTTCAGAATTCCGAATAATTTGCACATCCAGAAGGCCATCGCACCTCGAAAGACCATGGTCCCCTCCACCCAGTCTTTAAGACAGCCTCACACACGGCAACTACAGGCAAATACCCGCCATAGGCACCTTCCTCGTTGCCTTCGCGCCCTTCGATCTCGTCTTGATATGGCAATGGACGCCATGCATTCGACCACGCATACAAGGGATCGATGTTCTGCTCCGCGGCGCTCTTAATCAGTGCGTCGACATCATGTCTGCGAGAACCATCAGATATCTGCAGATAGAATATCTTCTCTGGCGGAATCGTCTTAGCAAGCGCCGAGAGCGAGATGCCGAGTGTATGGAGCGCAGAGCCTCCTGGCGAATGATGCAATAAGCCGTTAGGTGATGTTGGATCAGCGTAAGTGCGAGCTGCAAATGTCATATGTGATCAACATTTCCTTGAGCACAGTGATGGGAACGCACCACATATCTGGAATGTGTCGAGACAAAGCCCGAAGTTGGGCCGGTTTACACGCTTGCAAATATCCCAAGTGTGTTCCCAAGTATTACTGAAGAACACACAATATCAGGTCTATTCTGATTATGCAAGGATAGCCTAAACTCACACATGACTACCCCAAGCCCACATCTCATACGCACTAGTAAATGCAGGATATCAGAATAAGTATTGCTAAGTCAAATGACGTTACTCGCATTTGGATAGGAGGATCCTCAGCGGCAGCTTCGTCTGCAAGCTGTCTCAAATCTCGAGCGATCACATTGTGGTCCGAACTGGTTGTTGGGTCGTCAGATGAACCAACTTGCAACATCTGACAATCCAATTCCTGTGAAAAGTCTGGTTAGCATTGCGTACCACCAAAAAGAAGCGACAATATTGCATCATACAAGAGATATCAATAATTCGCGACCGCGGTTATGGTTCTCAGACACACTCATATGCCATGATTAACATATAAGCCCCTACATAAAGTATCTCGCAAGCCATCAAGCGCATCAGGAAGTATTAAACATATGGTGCTTATGGCAATGAATATTATCGCGGTGTCTGTAGGGCGTAGATTTGCCATCCCCAAGCTACGCCTTCGAATGGCTGGGTTGAAAGCTAAGTTGACAGATAGAAGCGCTCACCTTTAGAACTTTGAACCACGCATGAGCCCTTTCGAACCCTGTCTCTCTCTTGGTAACATCTTCATAGCCTTCGAATTCAGAGAATCTATGGGAAATTCAGCTGGAATAGATGGTAATGGCTGTTCACTTACGGATGGACGACTAACACTTTTAGCCCGAGCTCCTCACACAGCACCCTTATGTTTCCAGTGGCCTTCAACAACTTATCAATATCACCTTTTCCTCTCCTATCAAGTTTCTGATACCCTTCAAATGTCTGCTCCGCATACGCTTCCAGGTCAGGAAAGCCAACTTCGGCGAAAGGAAATCTCGCTTCGGCTATGGCACGCAATTTGATAGGAAGTGTATGAGACGGGTGCATTCCCGCTGAATCTGTAGAATACGCAAGGCCTGTGGTTATGTTCGACATGACGAGTTGATGGTTAACAATTCGGTTGTGGTGCATTCAGGCTCTGTTAGTGCGCCGAGTATGACGTCATGGCTCACTCATGACATACTTCCGTTTTGCCGCTGGTTAAGGAAAACTGACAAAGAAAAATATTCTGCGTATAAATGATGGTGATGCGAGTTGCGGAATCGATCTGAACATAAACGCACCAACTCAACGGCAACATGGCCCACATCGCAGCGAGTGTTCACGGAAACAAAGGACCGCTTGGGGTACCATAGACCTCGAGTTCCCGTCTCTTGAGGTGGCTCGTCTTGTGAAGAATCAAAATGTTGCATGATGATGAGTGGTGCCGGTGAGGCAGCCAGTACGTTCACCAATCAGAGTGAAACGTAGTTGAAGACTTGAGAATGTAACTGTGGCGCTGTTATTTCCATATTGAGAATATGCTGGCCTTGAACTTCGGACAGCATTGTCCTAATATGGGACAGGCTCTGACCTCCATGATCATCCGGTGAGAACACTAGTACTACCTTCGTGGCAATACACTGTACAGCGTACGCCATGGCCTGTGTGGATTCTTACCCATCACATGCACGCTTGCCTCGCCACATCGAGTGTGGCGGTGAGGATCCAGCTGCATTGTATATAAAACTCATGCGCCATGAAACAGACTGATATCTTTTCAGACATAGACTTCTACGCATTGAACATAGCCGAATAGTAAGCCATCATGCAATACCCTCATCACTGCTGAAAATAGTCTGTTATAGTTATGGTCCGACTCCCGCCCGAAATGTGCGACGACATCATCGATGCACTCAAAGACGACCGTCAGAGTCTGAAAGCATGTTCCTTGACCAGTCGCGATTGGACTCCGCGTGCCCGTACGCACTTGTTCCATTCGGTCGTTGTGGAGGGTGTTGCAGCGTATGACGGTTGGGAGTCTTTCCTGAAGTCATCTCCTGGAATCGCTGCCTACATTCGGCGTCTTACCTTACGTGGCGATGAGCCAGCCCCACCCGGGGAGCGGGAAAGACTGAAAGAGTGGACACCGATATTTACTCACCTGAATTTTCTAGAAGAGCTTGTGGTAGAATGTTGGGCCCTGGGTCCTACGGAGAAGCTATGGGTAGACCTACTTCCCGTGGTGAGATCGCTGCGTCTCAGATGCATTGCCATTCCCGAAGTAGATCTCACGTATCTGTTCTCGGCATGCACTCAAATTTCCCAGATATCCCTCTGGATGGTCTCCACAGAGAGAAACGGAGAGTGTACCTTTGGAAATCCTGATCTACCCCCTATGCCTCCGCTTCCGATACATGTGTCTGAGCGCGGCTTCGGAACGCTGACCACCTTCAAATGCACCTATACGGAGAGGATAGTGACATGGTTCCTCAGCAGCCCCTTCAAAATGTGCATTCGCGACCTAGAATTGACCTGCTCCTCTAACTACCCGGATTCTGACTACCACATGGGCACATTCCTCGCACTCTCTAAATCAACCTTGGAGCACCTGGAATTCTCGATTCACGGCGCCCTTCCTCCTAGTTGGAGTGAACATTTCAATCTAGAAGGAATGGATAAACTGGCGACTCTGTATATCGATCAGAGGCCCACTTATTCGTTAGAAGCCGAGCATAAGTTTACCTGGATGCTCTCCATCTTCGATCATATCGCCAGCTGTACGCTCCCCAGCTTGAAAGAAGTGCACATTACGATCGAAAGCCTTTGCTTTGCGACGTTGATTAGTGTTCTACCAGTCGCTGATACCCCGACTAACCTGACAGATGGCCCATCAGCCACTGATATCCCGGCTAACTTGGCTAGCGTTCCACCAATCGTCGATGCCCTGGCGAACTTGGGACAAAAGCACCCCAAGTTAACTGTCATTTTTGACGTCTCTGAAATCACCGGCTCTGATACGTGGGAAGAGGAAACGCGGAAAGTTGCATTAGAAGTGTTTCCCAACAAGAATAGGGATCAATTCCGGGTTGTTCCCACTAGGCTGGATTACCGGCTATGTGCTTTCAGATGCTATCCGTTAGACGAGGATTTGGACTTCGGTGGTTTTGAAGTGATTCCCGTGTATGATCGTAATATAGTGTAAGGGGGGTTGTCTTATTAATACGATTCCTTCACGTATTCATTGGTCCGAGAACGTGTACACCTGCGTAGCATGAGCGCCACACCTCCACCAGTAACCCGTCTTCAGAAACGTCGACGTCGCGTTTTCACTATTTTCAACTCGTGACCCGCGCTCTACATGGAGCTAGGCATTTGTGGGAAACAAAGGAAGTGATATCCGAATACAAGATAGTGGGTATGCTAGTATTCCGGTCACCGCGCCCCAAATCCGCGCGATAGCTTGTGGCCAGGTGGCTTTGACATGCTGAAGCGAAGGCCGCCACAATTGTCCGCTGATATCGATGGCTTTGCGGCGTGCTATGTCCCGTAAGGCCACCCAAGGACGGCCATGGCCCACCATTTTTTGATGATAAATCGCAGGGCATGGCTACCACTCTTGGACTCGCTACCTCTATTCACAGAAACCCTGCGACGTCATAATCTCTCCCTTGCATAAACCTTCACTCATAAGTGAGAATGTGGGCTATTTCGTGCTAGATCGTAAGAAGATTGCTTACTCGCTTCACAGACATGGCTGCCCACATCCCTCAAGAACTACGAGACCATATTGTCGACGTCTTCCAAGACGACCGTGAAAGCCTCAAGACCTGTGCTTTGATCGGCCGTGTCTGGACAAGCCGCGCTCAGTCTCGTTTGTTCCGATCACTTACCGTCAAACGCCTCGCACATTATGCAGAATGGAACTCGTTCTTCTATTCGTCTCCCCATATAGCGCGTCATGTCCGTGCCCTGAACCTGATGGGCAAACCAGTAAGCTTCGAGGAATCGGAACTTCCAGAAGAGTGGCTGTGGATCTTGGAAACCCTCCACAGAGTGGAAAGCCTTATAGTCTGCGCCTGCACTTTTCCCAAACTGTCCCTGAAGATCACGGTGGAGCTACCCCGTCTGCTATCTAATATCAAGCAGCTGAGCTTCTTGAACATCTCCATGCCTGCTGGAGATCTCTGGACGTATCTGGGTGCATGCACGCGGCTGAGGAAGCTAGCTGTTCGGCTCGTTGAGTCCCCGGACTGCAAATCAACCGCGTCGAAGGACGAGCGCGGGCATATTTATAGCCGAGCTATCGGGCCAGTGGACACGCTTGAATGCACCACCACACAACCAGTCGCCTCGTGGCTCCTTTTCAATCGCGCACACAACGATTTCCTTATTCGCCGGCTGGCACTCACCTGCTATGAAGACTCTGTTCAAAACCCAGCCCAAGCCATGAATGCCTTGCTTACCCACGCAGCGCCGACGCTCGAACATCTAGTGCTCTCGGTGGGGAGTGATCTCGGTGGCTTCCCTGGATGGAACCTTTCGAGGATGGACAAGCTGAAGACCATCCATTTGAGGGCAGATTCGCGAGATTTGAGCGTGCTCTCCGAATGGAACAAACAATTTCCGCATGAATGGATGCCTCTCACGGTTGAAGATATGATACAGCAGAAACTTCCTAGCCTCCAGGAGGTGCGCATCACTCTTAGATTGCTCGACTTGCACCACGACTCTTCGATGCGACTGGGACGGATGGATGCTGCATTGTCTGGCCTCTTGGGAAGTAGGCAAGAGTTAAGCTTCGTGCTCAATATCGTTGGTACTATGGTATCATCGACGAGAATTGGTTTGGTGAGACGCAAAGTGAAACTGGCCCTTCCACGGACGCTGTTGTGGAGGAGACAAATAAAGGAGGCCTATTATGGCACCAATTGGGATGAAGATGCCGTCTTTGGAGGTGGGCTGGACCCTTTCGCTCGAAATGGACTAATCCCAGGCTTTCAAGGCTACTGCAGACTACTCTTCTAGATGGCATAGTGACGGACAGCCTGTACAATATATATGAGCGAATCAGGATCTGTAAATTACCAATAAGTTCGAGCAGGTACTTATCAGGACATGAACACGGCAGCGGCAGGAAACTCACTTCGCAAGTAATGCAAGCGGCTAAAGACTCAAATTAAGAGAAGACAGCCTGAGAAGAGACTAAGGACAATGTGACTTTTTACGTCGACTTGACACGCACTGGGCGTCAGCAGACCGCCACCATTTGACCGAGAGCATCCTCATGCGACCCCGACCGAAACGAGGTAGGCTTGGGAGGCGGCACCAGCCCCAATGACGATACGGCGGCATGCACACTGAGAAGCATATCACTTCAGTAGCGATGAGATATGTGAGTGGAGATTATCAGTTATATTTGTGCTTCCGAGGGAATGCGGATGATAATCTCGGTAACCCGCAGTACGTGAACAACACCGCGTCACTGTGAGACAGACACGGTCAGTAACTTCCCGAAACCTACCGTCGTGGTTGCCCAGATACGTCTATCGTGAAGTGCACAACGATAGACAGAATCCAGCGAGACCCGACTCTGCGCAGCATACGTTGACAAGGACGGAGGACATATAACGTGAGACAATGAAACGACGAGTAATGAGCTTGACATATCTGAGGTTCGGCCTCATCCGGCAGAGTGTGGCAGGCAGGGACAACTAGACATAAGTGGTGCATTTATGGCTCTAGATTCGACTGGTTGCAACATAGCCCAGACCCGCGCACTAGACTCTAGAGTTCATGACAGGCTAGTTCTAGATACCCATTGAAAGTAGACGACGACGGTAGACATGCATGAGTAGGGCAAGGGGCTTGAGTTCATATGAAAGACCATGTATCAACCATCTTCCTCTTGATTAGTGATGAAAGCATAGCATGTCATAGAGTCGAAGGGAAGTTCGGACGATGCCTCGAGTCGTGCGGGAATACCACTAGAGTATATAGACTGCGATACTCCTGCGAGCGCATACGGATATTGAGCGGCACGGTGATCATTATCGGTATCTATACGTGCCATGACGCACCTTCCGACGAGTGATCCTCAGCCAGAGTGCGCGCCGTGTTTGCCGAGTTGCCACAAGGCAGCCTTCTTATGCGTAGAGAAGTGACTGCGGCAAGCTGAGTCTGCGTGGCACGCATCGGTCCTGCAGCGTCACATGGGCATTAATTATTCGAACCTTGAGAATTGGGAAAGCGAACGCGGGAGACACAAATCAGCAACGCGTCCGTTGGAGGACGAACCAGGTGATTGATGAAGCGGGTTTCGGTGTCCCTGTCCCTTTTCTATGAAAGTTCGTTATCAATTCGGCGACTGTCCGCGAGAGCGCTGGGAACACGAGGCACATACTGGAGCGAGTCATACTTATTCCTTTTCGTCCGGTAGTAGCGAGGCAGTGCGCTGTGTTTACGGCTTCGCCACTTCTCGATGTTGTCGTTGGATTGAACCAGATACAGATATCACTCTCCTAGGACCACAGCACATGTGGAGCAGTCTGGAAAGATAGACAAGCATGATGCGTGCGCCAGAAAGAGGACCCATGGCAGTTCTCCAGACGTGGGCTAGATGTAGTGACGAACTGAGGCCGTGGTCTCGCGCTCAGGCTGTCAGCCGTAGTGTGTGGAGGATGTTGGGATGCTCTTGGCATCGTCAGACGAAAATACAAACATTGAGAAGCCCGGGGCGTCACTCGTGTGGTCAGTCAGCGAGAGTCTATTCACAAAGCATCGGACGCTTCGTCAGACTCGGAGAAGTAAGCGTTCATATCGGAGGACAGAGGCCGGCGGAGCATAGCATCTTGTAGTGCGCCTATGAAAGACTGCGATGCAGTCGGAGCGCAAGAGCCTATCTGCAGAAGGACAGTGCATTTCTGTCCACAAGTTGATGTTTAAGATGCCTGGGGAGCGGAGGAGGAAGAGCCACTTTGTATGTCGGCAGCAGGAAATTGAAGATACGAAGCGCCCGGGGCGGAGTTGAAAGGAAATGACCAGAAAGGGAAATAGGGAGGGGCTGGGACAGAGTCTGGATCCTTAGCCATCTGCCTCGCCGCAAACACGTTCCTGTCCTCCTGCGATAATCTCGAACTCGCCCCCGGAGTCCGTCTCATTTCAATCATGATCTCGGGACCAGCTCTCAGCATCTTATCCCCGTTATATACACAATCCGTCATATTCACATTCCATTTACTTTTCCTAGTGTAATTTATGCTCAAATCCATATCACGGTCCGCTTTCAGTTGCCAGCCCGGCACCCAAATTGACATGCCCGCTCTATATAAGAATATCTCTTCGCCCGCGTATATCCCTTCTTTCTCCCGACCGTTCGCATACACTGACGCTCGCTCTTCCATACGCTATCCCGTCTAGTCTCTGTATTCTCCACCATGACCGAATACACTACCTCTTCAGAGGCCGTACGCGAATGGATGAGTGCACGCGAACGCACTGCCATGTGGGTCAGTAAACACTCTGAGAACGATGCGAGTTTGGCCTTTGTTTCACCATCTTCCCCGCCCTCCACGCTCAGCGACTCTGACGCGCCCAGCTATGGGCCTGACTCGGACGACGAGAGCACCCACTCCCTGCCTCCACGCATGGTGTTGCGGTACGGCGATGGGAGGCCCGACATTCCCATTTACTCGGGTCGTCCGACTACGAACGGTTCCCAGTCCCATTCGAGGTCGCGCTCGAACGGGAGACCTGAGCCCGACCATCCTCCTCCGCATCATGTCCCCTCACATGTTCGCTCTCGATCTGCATCGCATGCTCAAAGCATGGCCTCTCGATCAGCCCATGGTTCATCCCGCCACGCCCAGCCACCCTTTTACGCGCCCAGCCATTCTGCAGCCGCGCACCAGCCTGCAACACCACCGCGTTCTCCAGAGAGCATAGTGGTCTTACCGTCGAGGCAGGGAGACGATACGCCACAATCCATTGGTACTGCTGCGCACAACCCATCGTACTATTCACCAACGCAGGTGGCGCTTGGTGTACCCCTCCCAGCATCCACTCCGCGCCACAGTGCCAGTGCATCCGTGCGCACCCACCACACAAATGAAATCCCACATGCTCCTTCGCACGCACGCTCGCAGCATAGCATTGCTGCCCCGCTACCGAGACGCCCATTTGACCCATCCCAAATCCCTGCCGTGACGGGTTCGCCACAAATGGCCTACTCGCACTCACAACCTCTTCCTGCAACTGCTGCAGACCCAGCAATGGGATATGCGCCTCACCACCCATCGTCGCGAGCACAGTCTCAGCTTCCGTACGCATATACCCCACCTGCCATCGTCTACGCTCCATCCTCAAAGCACTCAAAATCCCGCTACGCGCCACCGGCTATCGTCTACTCACCCTCCGCTACCCACCGTGGACAACCTC